TTTTATTTTTTCCGTATTGCTTGAAGGTATATACAATTTCTTCAGGTAACTTATTTTCTCGTCCGTATTTCATATCTGAAATCATTTTTATTTCTGTGCCTTCTCGAGAAATATGAAATTCTTGAAGGAGTCAGGCGCAACATGTGCTGTTTACAGTGGTTCCTGAGGGGGAAGAAATGGTCCTTACAGTAAGTGCACCATTATAGAGGTGCGAGTGATGTAATGCTCCATAAGAGGGTGCTGATTGTGGCCCCAACTTCCCATCAGGAGCAATAATACCCAGCAAATATTTGGTTCCATCGAGGATAATTGAAGGAAGACGGAGTCTGGCGTCGTTACAGAAAACTGCGGCTCCTTGATGGAGGACTCCGCCAATATTGACTCTGCTGATGGAAAGCCCAAGATGTTGACACTTTTATTCTCGCCTTTTATTCTTCTTCGCTCTCTGACGACCGCGTTTCACGTCATCTATTTTTTATATTACTGCAGGTATACATTTTTCATCGTTTATACATTTATTCATGCGTATACAGCCTAGATAATATCAAAAACTTTTTAGTTATAGGGAAATAAATATCCGATAAGGGAAGCCAAATACACAACGTAATCAAAAGAATCACAGTAGTAGACCTACTGAACATCATACTGCAGTAGGCCTATCAGTCCATGCTGGTCATATCCTGCAGTAGGCCTACTTCAGTGCCTGATGTAGGCTTTATGTGCCTTGTTACATTAGGCATGTCTCTTAATACAGTTAGACTACAACTCCATGATAGGCAGGAACTGTCGCAGTAGGCCTACTTCCCAATTCGATGCAGGCCCTGTTAGGTGGGCCCTGCTGCCTACTAGCTCATGCTAGGTGGGCCCTGCTGCCTACTAGCTCATGCTAGGTGGGCCCTGCTGCCTACTAGCTCATGCTAGGTGGGCCCTGCTGCCTACTAGCTCATGCTAGGTGGGCCCTGCTGCCTACTAGCTCATGTTAGGTGGGCCCTGCTGCCTACTAGCTCATGCTAGGCGAGTCTGCCTACTAGCTCATGCTAGGGGAGTCCTACTGCCTACTAGCTCATACTAGGTGGATCCTGCTGCCTACTAGCTCATGCTAGGCGAGTTCTACTACCTACTAGCTCATGCTAGGTGAATCCTACTGCCTACTAGTTCATGCTAGGCGAGTCCTACCTACTAGCTCATGCTAGGTGAGTCCTACTGCCTACTAACTCATGCTAGGCGAGTCCTACTACCTACTAGCTCATACTAGGTGGACCCTGCTGCCTACTAGCTCATGCTAGGCGAGTCCTACCTGCTAGCTCATGCTAGGCGAGTCCTACTGCCTACTAGTTCATGCTAGGTGGACCCTGCTGCCTACTAGCTCATGCTAGGTGAGTCCTACTGCCTACAAGCTCATGCTAGGTGGACTCTGCTGCCTACTAGCTCATGCTAGGTGGACCCTGCTGCCTACTAGCTCATGCTAGGTGAGTCCTACTGCCTACTAGCTCATGCTAGGTGGACCCTGCTGCCTACTAGCTCGTTAGGTGGGCCCTGCTGCCTACTAGCTCATGCTAGGTGGACCCTGCTGCCTACTAGCGCGTTAGGTGGGCCCTGCTGCCTACTAGTTCATGCTAGGTGGACCCTGCTGCCTACTAGCTCATGCTAGGTGAGTCCTACTGCCTACTAGCTCATGCTAGGTGGGTCCTGCTGTTACTAGCTCATGCTAGGTGGGCCCTAATGACTACTAGCTCATGCTAGGTGGGCCCTAATGTCTACTAGCTCATGCTAGGTGGGCCCTAATGTCTACTAGCTCATGCTAGGTGGGCCCTACTGTCTACTAGCTCATGTTAGGTGGGCCCTGCTGTTACTAGCTCATGTTAGCTGAGCCCTGCTGTCTACTAGCTCATGTTAGGTGGGCCCTGCTGTTACTAGCTCATGCTAGGTGGGCCCTAATGTCTACTAGCTCATGCTAGGTGGGCCCTACTGTCTAGTAGCTCATGCTAGGTGGGCACTACTGCCTACTAGCTCATGCTAGGTAAGTCCTACTGCCTACTAGTTCATGTTAGGTGGGCGCTACTGCCTACTAGCTCATGCTAGGTGGACCCTACTGTCTACTAGCTCATGCTAGGTGGGTCCTACTGCCTACTAGCTGATGCTAGGCGAGTCCTACTGTCTAGTAGCTCATGCTAGGTGGGTCCTACTGCCTACTAGCAGCAAATAGGTACCTGGGTGTTAGTCGACTGGTGTGGGTCGCATCCTGGGGGACAAGATTAAGGACCCCAATGGAAATAAGTTAGACAGTCCTCGATGACGCACCGACTTTCTTGGGTTATCCTGGGTGGCTAACCCTCCGGGGTTAAAAATCCGAACGAAATCTTATCTTATCTTATTAGCTCATGCTAGGTGGGTCCTACTGCCTACCAGCTAATATCGTCGAAAATTACGTGGATGTGGAAGCGGAGGATGATACTCTTCGGAGGCGGTGTTCTTTATTTGGGTTCTCGGTACACAGGCAGTGTGTTTAATTAAGTGCCCGCCCGGGTCTGGAGGGCCATGCCCAGGAGAGAGTAATAGAGTAGGCCTTGTTGACTGAGTGGACTCGGCAGCCAGAATGAGACAGGGTAAGCGTGGTGCGGGTTGAGCTGGTTAGGCCTATATGGTGGCAGCACCCGCATGGCGCGAAGTATGAACCTAGCTGGGATACCTAAGAACATAAGAAAGAAGGAACACTGCAGCAGGCCTACTGGCCCATGCGAGGTAGGTCCAAATCTCTTACCGGCTTAAGCCAATGACCCAACCTAGTCAGATCAGGCCACATTCACTTAAGGAAGGAGCACGGCATCAGGCCTAGTAGCACAAACCATACCACGGGCGGGGATAAAACCCGCGATCAGAGTCTCAAAACTCTCTGATCGCGGGGTCTATCCCCGCCGGGGGTAATGGTTTTCTTTGCAATGGTTGCATTTACGATCTGTATGACCGTCCAAACTACACCACTTCGTGTATTTATCTAAACTATTTTTAAAACTACACAATGTTTTAGCTTCTATGACGGTACTCGGAAGTTTGTTCCACTCATCCACAACTCTATTACCAAACTAGTGCTTTCCTATATCCTTCCTGAATCTGAATTTTTCCAATTTAAAACCATTGCTGCGAGTCCTGTCTTGGCTAGATATTTTTAGCATGCTGTTTATATCCCCTTTATTTATTCCTGTTTTCCATGTATACACCTCAATCATATTCCCCCTAATTCTACGCCTTTCGAGAGAGTGCAGATTCAGGGCCCTCAGTCTTTCCTCATAAGGAAGATTTCTGCTACATGGGATCAACTTTGTCATCCTCCTTTGTACATTCTCCAGTGCATTTATATCCATTCTGTAATACGGTGACCAAAACTGTGCAGCATAATCTAAATGAGGCCCAACGAAGGATATACAGAGTTGAGCAACATGATGACTCCTTTTATTTGTGCTTCTTGATATGAAGCCAAGGATTCTGTATGCTTTATTGCAAACACTTACGCACTGTTGTCTTTGTTTTAGATTACTAATAACCAGAACTCCCAAATGCTTTTCACAGTCAGTAATATTAAGATCTACATTATTTAGTACTTTGGAGTAATGAAGCAACCTTCACTGTCGCCTGTAACCGTGGAGGGCATGTGTATTGGCCCAGAGGAAGTGGGACCACCAAACTCGCTTATGGTTTGGGGGTTCTTCAGTGCTCAGAGTGTTGGTGAACTCATTGTGCTTCCCAAAAACCAGTTTATGAACCAGTATAATTACCTAGAGTTATTGTGTGACAATTTACCTGAGGCGTTTGACAAGTGTGGGGCTACGGTTTTTATGCAGGACGGTGCACCGTGTCATACCACCAGATATGGAGTTCAGTGGCTTAAGGACTGTGAAGTGAGGTTCTTTAATCACTGGCCAGGCAATTCCCCAGACCTAAACCCTATTAAGAACCTCTGGTCAATAGTGAAACGAAGTTTACTGGGCAAGGATATCAGTTCCATCCCGCGGCTGGAGGCTGCTCAGGCATGGAATAATATACCTCCCCAAACCCCCAAGAATTTGGGTCTTCCTACACGGCTGAGGGACGTGATAAAGCATAAAGGACGCAGCACCAAGTATTAAAACCTTAGTAAGTGTGCAAATAGTTATATTATAATCTTTCATGGTACGTGTGTTTCGGTACGTGTGTGGGGGAGGGGTGGCATAATCTCGGGATTAGCACTGTATTTGCCTTGTTACGTACGCTTAGGCATTGCTGTCTTAGTTTAAGGTTGATGCTTACCACAACCCCCAAGTCCTTTTTGCATTCTGTACAGCTAAGTTCTACATCGTTTGTTTATTTATCTGCGTTGAACTGCATCTGCCACTTTTCTGACCACGAATTGAGTCTAAATCCTCTTGAAATTCTGTGACATCGACGTCTGAATCGATTATCCTACCTACTAGTTCATGCTAGGTGGGTCTAGCATGAACTAGTGGGTCTTACTACTTACTAGTTCATGCTAGGTGGGACGTTAATCTTAGCTAAACGTAGCAAGCTGCTCACCCTAACTCTCTAACCCTCATAGAGATGGAAGTGGCTGCATACTGTTCCTTTATCAAAGTTTGTGGCCCGGGCTGTAACACACGTGCAGTGCAAACTCGCCGAAACACAACAATATACCTCACTTCTCACTGTTGTAGCTTGTATGAGCGTAGAAAATACTGTAACAGATGACACAGGAAGATACAGGCTAATCACATTTATACTATGATCGTTAAATGATACAAGGTGAGACCAGGAGCCATGAATCGACCCCTGTAAACATGACAAGGCGAGTACAGTGTAAATCACAGAAATAGGGGAATATTTTCTTAGTGAATATTTGTAAATGTTTGGAAATTTATTATAGGATCATTTTTTTTTATCATTTACATTTTTTCTCTGTATTCTAGTTGTTACAGGATTGCAGATTGATCAATATTATTTGTGTTGCTAAGCGATTATTGTTCTTGCAGGTCACTTCTTGGGCAACCACACGGTGTTGGACGTGGTGCGCTCTGCTGGTCTGTCCGTGCAACACGTAGCTCCTGAGACCAGGATAAAGAGGTATGTAAGGATATCAAGTGTCCCTCCCACACACGTCTCACCCTGGTCTGGGACCACCCATCCCACACACGTCTCACTCTGGTCTGGGACCACCCATCCCCCACACGTCTCACCCTGGTCTGGGACCACCCATCCCACACACGTCTCTGGTCTGGGACCACCCATTCCACACACGTCTCACTCTGGTCTAGGACCACCCATCCCACACACGTCTCACCCTGGTCTGGGACCACCCATCCACACACGTCTCACTCTGGTCTGGGACCACCCATCCCACACACGTCTCACTCTGGTCTGGGACCACCCATCCCACACACGTCTCACCCTGGTCTGGGACCACCCATCCCACACACGTCTCTGGTCTGGGACCACCCATTCCACACGTCTCACCCTGGTCTAGGACCACCCATCCCACACACGTCTCACTCTGGTCTGGGACCACCCATCCCACACACGTCTCACTCTGGTCTGGGACCACCCATCCCACACACGTCTCACCCTGGTCTGGGACCACCCATCCCACACACGTCTCACTCTGGTCTGGGACCACCCATCCCACACACGTCTCACTCTGGTCTGGGACCACCCATCCCACACACGTCTCGCTCTGGTCTGGGACCACCCATCCCACACACGTCTCACTGGTCTGGGACTACCCATCCCACACACGTCTCACTCTGGTCTGGTACCACCCATCCCACACACGTCTCACTCTGGTCTGGGACCACCCATTCCACACACGTCTCACCCTGTTCTGTTACCACCCATCCCACACACGTCTCACCCTGGTCTGTGGATCCGACCCATCCCCACAACTTTCACTCACCCGGTCTGGGACCACCCTATCCCACACAACGTGCTCACTCTGGTCTGGGACCACCCTTCCCACACACGTCTCACTCTGGCTTGGTTCCACCCATCCCACACACGTCCTCACCTGGTCTGGGACCACCCATCCCACGCACTTCATCACCCTGGTCTGGGACCACCCATCCACACACGTCTCACCCTGTCTGGGACCCACTCCTATCCACACACTACTCCACTCTGGTCTGGGACCACCCATCCCACACACTTCTACGTCCACCTGGCCTGTGGACCACTCCATCCCACACTACTCTCACCCTGGCCTTGGACCACCACCTATCCCACACATCTCTCCACCTCTGTCTGGGACCACACCATCCCACCACACGTCCCCAACACCTGGTCTGGGACCACCCATCCTACACACGTCTCACCCTGGCCTTGGGACCACCCATCCCACACACTCTCACCTCCTGCGCCCCCCCCCCCCCCACTGGGTACCACCCATCTCACACACTGTCCCACCTATTGTGATCACATGCCCCACTACATACCTTCACGCATATTTCAAAACTCACGCATCCTTACTTCCCACTCATCCTTACTTCCCACTCATCCTTACTTCCCACTCATCCTTACTTCCCACTCATCCTTACTTCCCACTCATCCTTACTTCCCACTCATCCTTACTTCCCACTCATCCTTACTTCCCACTCATCCTTACTTCCCACTCATCCTTACTTCCCCACCATCCTTACTTCCCACTCATCTTACTTCCCTCATCCTTACTGTCCCTCACTCTTCGCCCAGTCATCCTTACTTCCCCATCTCACCCTATCTCCCACTCCTATCATTACTTAAATTTTCCCATCCTTTTAGATCACTACCCACTTCATCTAAGTCCTCTGCTCGATCTTTTTAATCATTTATCCATACAAAAATTTGTCATTTTCGTAATTTTTTATACAAATGTCCAGTATAATCTACTTTTGGCCACGATTGTGAGCACTGTTCAGTGCCCCCCAGCGCCTTCTCCGTTCCAAACCACTTACTTTCAGAGCTCCCCTCAAGGAGGTTCCTGTGGTGGGGCCTCTTTTTAAATTATCTGCTCCTTCAACCAGTTAACTCTAACCTTCTTAACCCCCCGATTGAACCCGGGTTAGCGCTCCAGGCAGTTCCAGTTTGGACGCACTTGTTTCAGTCGCGATTTCAGCTCGAAAATAGCACAAGTTTGAAGCTTTTCAGTAAGCTCCCTCAAGGAAGGTTCCTGATGTTGGTGTAGGGCCTCTGATTAGGAATTGGATCTCTGCTCAGTTCAACCCGAAGGAGCCTGAATGCCTTCCACACCTCCCCCAGGCTGTATATATCCGGGTTTAGATCTCCCTATGATTATAATAATAATTTTAAGAAGCTGATTGGCAGCTAATTTACGTTACATTATATCATCTCCTTCCTCAGTTCACCTCAAAGGCTAGTCCTACCTAAGGTCTACTACCACTCCCTAGAATGTTACTTGCCTGTCTCATTCCTCAGTTCACCTCAAAGGCTAGTCCTACCTAAGGTCTACTACCACTCCCTAGAATGCTACTTGCCTGTCTAACACCTAAGTACAGTACGTGTTTATTCCCCAATTGTCATGAGCAGCAGGTGCAAGGACACTTGCTCATACATCTCGCCCTGTCCAGAATGCGACCCACAGTAGTCCACTAACACTTTGGTAACTATTTACTGACGGGTTTTTCAAGTTGCCTGATAAAACTGGCTGTGGTACCCACATTTTACCGAGTGCTGCTAGCAGCGACAGCCTTACTAATGAAGGCCTGCTCTGGCTTAGGACCGAGGGGGCGGTGACCCCACGGGATCCAGCACTGGTAACCTACATATAACAGGTCGTTGGCGCAGCCACAGAAGTGGAGCTAAAAAAAACGCAAGACTTTTTTTCAATTAATATCTAATTCTCACTATTACATTGACCATTGTCTACGAAAGCAAGATAGTTTTAGGAAACGTCTCACATACATACTGAAAATAATATGTTTAAAGACGATTTCTTTGATTTTTGAGCATATAATTATTAAATGTTCCCCAAATTTCGATTTTGGCTTAAGCTTTCCCTAGATCGAAATCCTGTCTTAAGCTTCCCTAGACTGAAGTCCTGGCTGCTCTACAGAAACAAGTTGTGCTAGATGAACTGGGTGGACAGGACAGACTCCCATTGTCTTTTGCCTTGGTTCACATTATTCATTTTGCATCAATTCACAGTAACATTTCGCCATGAATATACTGAAGGGAAACTCTGCTCGCCAGACACAAGCGTCGACGCGGCCACCGGGGAGGGATAGTGCCAGAACCGTCAGTGCTGAAGGACTTTAGAACTTCTAGTACCCTGGACGCTGAGCAACAGCACGACCCAGCCTTTGCCAAGTGAGTCAGTCAACGATAACCTGTACTAGGTATACACACACACACACACACACCACACACACACACACACACACACACACACACCACACACCACACACACACACACACACACACACACACACACACACACACACACACGCGCGCGCGCGCACGCGGAGCAGGGAGAGAGAGAGAGAGGACCTAGTAGCACTCGGTGGAAGAGGCGGGGCCAGGAGCTGAGTCTCGACCCCTGCAACCATAATTAGATGAGTACACACACACAATGTGGAAGAGGCGGGGCCAGGAGCTTGGACTCGACCCCTGCAGCCTAAACTAGGTGAGTACACACACACAGACACACACAGACACACACAGACACACACAGACACACACACACACACACACACACACACACACACACCACACACACACAACAGAACGATACCAAACAGACTTTTACAGAGACAACGTTTCGCTCAAAGTTCTAATGCGACTGAAACGTTGTCATAAAATCCTCTCTATAACGTGTCTTAATATATATGTCGAATTTACGTTGGTTGATGTATATCAGTGATATTATATAACGTAAAGTATGTTAATAAAGCGAGCTATGAAGCTCATAGTATTTTATTGAGATGTTTCGCCCACCAGGAGCTTTATAAATTCTCACAGACTTGATATAATCCCTGGTGGGCGAAACATCTCAATAAAAACGTCATAAACCTCATATTGTTCTTATTACCATATGTTGTTTAGTGCATGCTTACTGGCCCACGCTAGGCAAGTCCTTCTCACACCCATTTATTCACATTCGTGTATTTGTCCAACATATTTTTCAAGTTATACATCAAGTTTGACTTAACAATACATTATCTCAGTATTTCTGTGTTTTGTAACGTCTGTTAGAGTTCATGTAATGACTCTAATAGGTCATGTTGACACGAAGGATAATCGAGGTTTGGGCAAATCAGAAACAGTGTGATAAAGCACTTACAATTACTACTTAAAACTAGTACAGTACTAATTTCATAATGAGCCTAGTTCATTTGGTAGGGTTTAAACCTTTTAAAACTAAACGAGGTGGGGACAGTATCGGGAGATATGATTCTAGGACTTTAGACTAATTGCGTGAATCTGTTCATATGATTCCTGAGTCAGAGAATTTTTCACAGTAAACGAGGAGGAAAAGATAATCCACTTCCATTTTAACAATATTGTTGGTGTAAATATGCAACTGGTGTAACAACTATCTAATGGTATACTGAGTGTCTGGTTGTGCACTTACCATATCTGGTATACTAATAATTGGTAGTGCACATCATCTTACTTGGTATACTGATAGTCAATAAATAACAAAAAAGGCACAATACCGTGACTGGAACGATACACAAATAACCCGCACATAAAAGAGAGAAGCTTACGACGACGTTTCGGTCCGACTTGGACCATTGACAAAGTCACACAGTGTGACTTTGTCAATGGTCCAAGTCGTAAGCTTCTCTCTTTTATGTGCGGGTTATTTGTGTATACTGATAGTCACTTCTAGTGCATTTTATCTTACCTAGTATACTGATAGTCAATTTAGTAGCGCGCCTCATTTTACCTGGTATACTTATTCTTTTGTTTTGTTCTTACAGCAGAATTCATTTAATCATAGTTGGGTGTTCTTGGTGTAGGTGAAGTAGAACTGATCGACCAGGCTCGCATTCACTTCATTGTCAACAATTAGACTAGAATGGTTATATTTTAATATCCTCTCTAGATATAGCATACCCGGGTATAATGGGTGAAGACTTGTCTAGAAGTATACCTCTAGGGTTAAATACTTCCCACTGTCATTTACCCCCGGCACTCCAGACTTGTCTACTCCACCTACAACCACTTGCCTGCTTTGTCATTGTCTACCAGAGATATCTGATGCTTCTACACATACCACTGACCAGTGTTTTCCACCACATGTACAGTTCGAAACATCTCTCTTCCTCACACTCGCTGCATCGTTAAAGTCTAAAACAATTATTCGCTCACTTGAAATTTCTTGAATATTCACGTAACACCTCCCAGAATCTTCTCTACGCTCCTCTCAGGCACGTAAAAACATAGTTACTGGAAAAATCTGTTAAATGTGAACACTGGGTGTCGACATTGGACAGAGGGATGTTTAGCTGTAGTTCCACTTCCTGTCTGACACAGATCTAGCTTCTTTATTAGTGTTAAGTAGGACAAGTGCAACTAATGCGACATTTTATTGTGGCAACGTTTCGCTCTCCAGCTTTATCAAGCCATTACGTAACGGCTTGATAAAGCTCCTGGAGAGCGAAACGTTGCTACAATAAAATGTCACATTAGTTGCACTTGTGTCCTTTTACTTAACATATTGTCGGTAATTCTACCAACATTAATACATTCTTAATTAGTGTTGTGACAACTGATTCCTATGTGGGAAGGTATCCAGACAATTAAATACGAAAGCCTTTGTCCCAAACTCTTACCAGGTCATTTTTAATGTCTATTCTTATGTTTCTGTTGTCTGTTTTGTAAGTAGAACCATCAAGTGCTTGAAGAGCACACACTTTGAATCACAGATTACCCCTTCTCCTGTGTTTTTAAATATGTTGGTAGAGTTTCAGTGATGGTAGTTCTGTTAGCTCTTTGAATACCAGTCTCTAAGTCGGTAAACCATAACGAAATCGCCCGCCAAGTGATTGTTGCAGCACGCCCGCCCAGCCAGGTTGATCAGGTGAGCAACCAGGAAGCCTAGTGTAGGACCCAGCTTCTGAGGCGGTGGCCCCTGAAACCATCTACAGGTAAACTACAGGTATCTTTTCAAGGCAGGTTTCTACCCAGTCATACTGATATGCCAATCATAATCACTCTTGCAATCACTAAGTCACTGTCTGGTCACCTTCACCTCCACCGGTTCCCATAAATATAATGTGGGTCAACAATATGGTGGTGGTGTGTAGTTGTAGGTGTGTGTATGGGAGGGGGAGAGAGAGCGGTGGCGTCTCACCTTCCTCACTCAGTAGTATCCTGGACGACCAGCAGCTAGGATGTGAACGCTGAGAAGTATATGTATCTCTGATTCTATTCAGGGAGAATTTACTTTAATGCTTATTTGAGGGATTAAAGTATTCTTGACTGGTGGTGAAAAAGTTTATATGCACCATTAATCGACTTCATGTAGTCGATAGGCTTTAAACTTAGTGCCCGAAATACATTGCATAACTAGGGACTTTCACCTTGTAAGAAAACGCCCGTAAAAAAAAAAGAAGGTAAAATACGCGAATCGTTGGAAATGTTTTTATTTTACTTTCATAACCTCTCAACCAACCAAGGGCGGAGTGTATTGGGTTGGAAGGTGAGCACACGGCGTCTCGCCCACCTTAGTGCTGCTTGTGAATGTTGAGCTATAGCTCCTAGATCTGTTGACGAATTGAGCTACAGTTCCTCTGCCTATTGAAGGTTTTGATGTATAGCAACAAGGGCTTTGGTTATATGATACGGTGGATACCTGTCTCAGATCAGGCAGATACCTAGTATTATAGTGTTTAACATGGTTCAGCTGTGTTTCAGGTCTCTTAGTCCGTGAAATGGATGCATGCACAGTATGAGCATTGAAAAAATACAAATTTTAGAGATGCAAGTTTCACTGTTCAGGCATTATTTGCATGGTCACAACAAACTTCTGTGCAAAATTTCAGACCATTTTATGCCCATTTAACTTGCAGCATCACGATCGACTTTTCGTCAGATCATGCACCATTGAAAACAATTAATTATAATTTATTGGTTGTCAAGATAATCAGGTGTATATGGTTTATATCATTTTTGGTTGTGAATGTATAATCAAATGTACATGGGTTATATCAATTATCAACTATTTAATTTTAAACTACAAGTTATAAGTGAAGTCTTTCTTGGTGCGGAACTTCGGCATCACTTTCCAGGAAAATATTCTTTACCTGTTATATCCATCAATTGCCTTCTGTCCACTCACTTCAGTGCAAACTTTAGTCCCTCTCTTAACAGCTTGAGAGTTGTTTGGCCTCTTGGGCACCTCATGGAGTCTCAGTAATTTTCAGAACCTGTTGATCTGATAGAGAAGCAATGAAAGAAGGCTAAGTTTTGAGTTCAGTCTTCCAGTCAATCATGGAATGGTAGTTCTTTGCTTGCCACTTTAGTTTGGGAATCACTACTTTTCTTGAGTTGACAATAGGAGCCACATTGTCATTCTCTTCCTCTTCACTGTCATCCTCATCATCAGTGTAGATTAACGAGTCCTCGTCAACAGCAACAGCAGATTATTCTCTATCCTCATCAGAGCTCTCGGTACTCTTCTTCTGTCTGTTGATTCTCTTCTCTATTTTTTCTTATCATTGAGACAGCTTTGTTTCTGTCATGTCTTTATCAGTCTGATCTGTGTGAGCAAAGTAGGAATTTCTTTGGACAGTCTTCTTTACTATCTTCTTTTCTTCACTGTTAAGATGTCTCATAAATTGCAGTGACTGAAAAACGTTCTTGGAACCGTGTGTGACATAAGGGTGCAGCTTGATGTGGAACCACATTGGAGCACTGAACTTTAAAATCATAATGACGACTCTTTTTCAGCTCCTGACTGGGTCTTGATGTTGCCACATACAGCCTAAGGATCCTACTCCATAAAGTATTCCACCTTGACACACGGTGGACCTGGTTGAAGAGCAGCCAAGTCATCGTCACCCACATCTGTAATCACTCCTTTGCAAATCCTGTACAAGTATTTCTGGTCCTAGGACAGATCCTCTGCCACCTTGTTATTCAGAGCAGGGAAATAAATGAAATTGACTGGTTGGAAAGAAACAACTGGCAGCTCAGACAGAGGATCCTTGATTGCTTGCCAATGGGACCTCTCCAATGCTCAGGACCACTTGGCTTACTGTCATAGTGGTAGAAAAGAGCCCGGAATGACATCTCATTTCCATGAAGCTGACATGAAACAGTGGACCGGATGACCTTAGCTGCTATCTTGATAATCACTG